CCTCAAGTGAGATTCTCTCAAAGGACAAACTGACACTGTTTCTGTGTCATTGCAACATTTTGCATAGCCTTTTTTACTTTTTTACTTTATGTCAAACAGCGATTGACGTCTGGGACCAGATGGATTTTTGTTTCCAGACAGTCGTACAGATTAAATAGCTTATCTCAAAGTAACAATGTCCAATTGGGCCTTAGCAGGAGAGTGGTTTAGGTCCTTTCTGCTTGGAGCCCATTTGAAGTTGTCTTTAGCATGATGGAGAACTGTGCATACCCAGCAAATTCATTGTGTGTCATTGATTGAGCGCTGCAGTGAATTAGGCTATTGCCTTCCCACTGCTTGTGGTCCTATAGAAAAATTGTGCACTTACACCGCAGCACTCAAGCTCTAAAAGGTAAGAGCCAAGCCTGGAGAATGTTAAGGAGGGATGGCTACAACACTTAACAATATGAGTTAAAAAATATTGTGTTTTACATAGGGTTATTATTGTTATTTTTATCAGCAGTAGTAGTAATACATGTAATACTAATATTAATGTAAATTATACCATTATTTGTAATCTACCTGTGCTGTACACAGGGAAGTGAAAAACTGCAAAGTGCAACAAGAAAGCAACCACATAAATGGTGGAGAAAGTTTTAATTCAGCAATTAGTTGCAAAATGAGATGTACTGTACTGTACTGTACAGAGGTACTCATATCCTGAACTATATGTGGTCTATGAAAGCTTCTTCAATTTAAGGCTGATATTTTGTGCATTTTTTTTTTATTTCAGTGAAATATTCTCCTTGACCATATTTACAGTGTTTTTAAAGGTGAAAAGGATATGTAATGATATATAAGTGGAGGACTTTAGAACACTGGAGTACTTGTTTTCTTTGGATCCATATCTCATCAACATCAAAGACTGTGAACACTCGCTATCACTCCATTGCCTGGATTCCCAGTAGCATATGAGATAAAGGGAAATACAGCTGTTAGCTTGTAGATAAGGAGAGATACAGGTCTAATAGATCAAGCCATCGATAAATCCACAAATTGTCACAGTTTGCTGGACTTTTGTGGTGCAAGGTGTTGATCTGTTTTCCTCTAGGGCACCACAGTACAAATGTTATGTAAAATGTATCGTTAATTTAAAAGGGAAAAGTATTGACAGCAACATTGCCAGTGTCTGAGTCATACCTTACGTGCTATAATGTGCTGCTCATGTCTAAAGTAATGTGTTGCAGCGTTTGTGAAATCACTACTCCAGAGCCTGTTCTATTTGCATTGCTAAGGAGCAAGGCTTTATTGTTAACTGGAGGTATACATTGTTTCTTCTTTTCTTCCTCCCATGCCAAATGATTAACCATTTATATTTGTCTACTCTGTTAAATCAGAGCAGGTATCTGTGGGCAAGGTTTTGGGCTGTAGTCCACACAGTTGCCAATAGATCAGGTAGTTTTAGAGAAAGCAAATCCGAGGTTCAAGTTTTAGAAAATAAGAGTGTTAAACATCAGGATCAGTATATTCATATGATCCGTAGGAGGTGATATTATTTACTTCTTTTTTGTTCTTTTGCACACCATATTTTTTAGTATACATACTTTTTAAAGATATAATTTTAAGCATATTTTACTGCAGGTGAAAGTACAGTGCATACCCAACCCTGTGTTGTAACAGAGGAAATATGAAAGGAACTATTGCTAGTAACAGTACAGTAGTTGCTGGAGTGTGTATGAAAGACCCGTGACCTTTATGCTTTCACATGTGCTAACTGGTTCTGCAAGAGACCCGAAAGCACTGAGAAGCTATGCACTCCCTGTCTCCAGAGACCTGTATGCAGTACACTACAGTGTGACGGAGATGCTTTGACACTTTTCAAGCTGTCATCCCTCGAATCTTCATCCAACACCCGACAACTCAACCACACACAGCGACCTTCAGACGCCACATCTCATCCTTACGCCCCGACGGTTAATCTTCCCTTTCAGCGACCCTGAGAGCACTTTTGCCAATTTTGGTCTGTTCACGTAGTTGCCATTTTGTGCAGCAAAGAGAGAAAGCGGTATTGCCCCCCCCCCCACTTTCTCTCCTTTAATCAGGACAGTGTGTGCTGACGCCTTGAAAAAATGTCAGCCTACCTGCCATGCCGCTGTGTCAGCCCTCACCTCCTGTTTTCTTCCTCCTTCCTCTTTCTTGGAATTTGCAGTTTCTTAGGCCCCTTAACTGTACAAGAAAGGAGATGCTTCCTCCTTCTATCAACTTGCACTGAAGACTCCCACTAGGAAATTGATTGCACTTTGGAGGAGACTGTTGCAAGGTGCAAGCAGGGGATAATCTCATTGCACAGCTGTTAAGTAAACTTAAAAGGAGGACAATTTAAGCATAGGGAAATTCTCAGAGTTTACCATGCAGTGTGTGTCTGAAAAGTGAAACAAAGTTACCATTTGTGTGTTATTTGTTTTGCCAGTATTGTTGTTTATTTCCTGCCATCAAACTGATTTCCATAAAACATGACTTCCATTGCATGTCAAGAGAAAGCCTATTGCTTTCCTTGTAAATAATATGTCAGATTAGCAAACATAAGCAATCACAATTAAGCAAATATGCAGCACAAAATTAACACTAATTAGAGTAGACTTGGAATTCATCAAGCCACTTAGCCAACAACATCAATGTAAGCAAAGTCATTAGCATAATTATACAGCGGACATGGTAAAGTTGATTCACATCATTTGCATCTCGCAAAGTCTTGATTAGCACAATCAACCTACAGGAGGTGAGTGCCCCAAGGTCACAGTCATGCATCTTTTGTCATAAGATTCATTAACAGGCCGATAAGCCGTTTATGAATGGGAAATGAGGAAAGAAAAGGATCCTTAATCAGTGGATGATTAAGAAATGCGGAAAACCGCCAATGACCCGTTATGATCTCTGATCTTCTGCTAATTTTGTGTTGGTTTGATCTTCAAACACTGTCAGTAAATCATTAACTGCACATAAAATAACGTGTGATACTGTGTCAAAAATGATACTCAAAATGCAAGTGATATTCATTTATAGTTCAATTAACTCGAAATAGTTTTGAAAATATGCTTTCTTCCGTTGATTGGCGTTGTTATCGTATCGGTTTTACACTAGGAATCCAATCCAAGTCAACCAGTGGGTCTGCTAAGTGTCTTCCAATCACGTTCAGAGTCTACTAACGCTCGATCCGATAGGCCTAAATTAGCCAATTCAATTTAGATGTGTTTGACAGATGACAACCTCTGAAATAAGATCATGAAGCTAATATCATACACAATTAATGGGCAGCTTTTAATTCTCTCCAAGAAAAAAAAGGCAGTTTTCATCTGACAGCTGCACTTCAAATGCATAATGCATCTGCAAAAGAGAGCAAAAAAACAGAAAAGGAAGCTTTCTAAAAGGCTTTAAATCTCCTCTTACTTGTGCTTGCCGTCACTGGATAGTATAAATTGAAATGGCTGACAACTTCTGTTTCATCAACTCAACAGACTGTCAACTATTCCTGAAGCAAAACGTTGTCAGTGTTTAATTGGAGCACAATGGGGCGTTTTGACAGCAGCCATACCTGAAACTCATTAAGTAAAGGATCAATATTGGAAGCAGGTTAAAGATTCGTTCAGATTCTTGCAAAGCCAGTTGTAGCCCTCGTTTATGCAGTTAATGTTTGTGGTGGACAAACAGCCAATGCACTGCAGACGTTAGCTGTAATTAGTCAGGAACATACGCTCTGACCAGGTGTGTGCAGAGGATTTCTGTATGTTTGTGTGACAAGAAAAAGTATCCACACCCTGGATTATAGCTTTCAACAACCTCTCTGTATTTTTGTGTGACAAGCCAGACTTTCACTGGTCTCAAAACTTTCTTGGAACCCCAGTCCACCTTTTGTTATTCCTCCTAGTGTCTCTTCTTTTTCACTTTGCCGGCCTTTGTTACAGGGACAAAGTTAAGCCATTTTGAGCTTTAGCTGATTCATCTCCACCTTAAAGGTCCCCTGTTGAGTTTTTCTTGTAAACAAACTAAAGTTTACAGTCAGTGTTTCTCACCAAAACCCAAATTAAATATGTAACATTGTATGATGTGAAATATTTTTTCACTGTCTTTGTTGGGTCATTGCTATTTACTGTATCGCATGTTACTATCACGAACTGTCTGATCAGTGGAATATTGTGAAACCTGCAGCAGGAATGTGTATTGCGTTTCACATGCACAATAACATACACATGCACATGGACAAAACATTGCTCCATAGTGCTAGTGGTCAGAAACTTCACAGGGCACCTTTCATTTTTGTGATCTGGAGGACATTCACATCTTTACATCATGTTAAAATGCAATACTCCATTTATTCTGAAATGTGTCCTGTGCTCAGTCTGAACACACTTTTAGAGAAGTGGACGTGTGACTACAAGGTCACAAGTTCAATTACCAGACGTGCAGGACAAGCTGCTGTACCATTAGCCATTAGCTGACCGCTGGACTGGGAGCTCCCAGTGAACAGCACGGCAAGACCGGGACTGAATGCAGCATCCGATGCCAACAGAGGCAGAGTTTGAGGACAGTACAGAGGTGTTTTTTTTCCGGGTTTAGCTCCAGAAACCCTGGGCAAAGTCAACTAACATTTGCTGCACAAGCTATCTAGCTAACAGCAACTGATATTACTGTTGGTCCATCTTGAAGCTCAGACAATTTTCACTTGGACTTTAAATAATAAACAGATAATTTGACAAAATGCTTTGATCAAACCCAGTTGTGAGCTTTCTCATTGTTTCATGAAACAAATACATATTTCTTTTCTCACGTCTCAAGGTCTTAAGGCTAAGCTCCTCCATTTTCTGTGATGTTAAAGTTTGTGCTTTGATGGAAAATATTCATTCCTCACACGTTTCTTTGTGTGAGATTTAACCACTTCCATAGTTTGTATCTCTGCCATACTTTATTGAGCAAGACAATTGATTCAGACTGCTTTATTGAGTGAGCTGTTTGTATCATTTCAGATAAATCATGGATGCACACCCCGGAGGCACTGGCCAAGCATTATATACCCTACAATGCCAAGGTATTTTATGACTTATTTATCCATTTTACTGTATATAATCTTTGTATGTATATTATTTGTTTTTATGAGAAGCATTTAGGGAGCTACGACCTGCATTTCATTATACAACCCTGCGTTGTAAAACAGCAATTAAATAACCTTGTATCCTTGTGTATTTAACTATCAAACTGTTGCATTGTAAGAGCTTAGTGACTGTAAAATAATCCAACAAAATGCATTTTTATGATAAACAATGATGGGAGGCTTTCACTGTCCAAACTGAAATACAGAAACAAAACAAAATCTCTCCTTTTGTGTCTTCCACCTTCCTGTTCATTTGTCAGACCTATCAAACCGACACCTTTCAGGCCAGGTGTTCCATGATGCATTTCTCCTGAGACAACCAGGCCTTTCATTGAGGGCAGCAGCTCAAAGTAGCTTGGCTGATGTAGTTGTTTTTCCTGTTTGCACCAGATGGAGCAACCAGCATTTCCCAACACCCTGTACCCCTTTTCATCATCCATTACATTTTCAGGTTACCTCAGTTAAGACATATTTGACAGGGAGAATTAGGATATTGTTAATGGTGGATGATTTGATTTGAATGGAAACACAAATTAAGTATCTACACTACGTATATAATATACCATTTATTTTGCCGAGCAGCTGTTTTCCCTCGGTGATGTAATGGGGAAAAATCATCCTTATCCAACTCTAGTATGAAAGTTTCTTCAGCCTTCCTGATTTGTTTATGTATTAATGAGTGAGGTCTTTACGTAAAGTGACTCATGCTTCTGTCAAAAGCAGCCAACACTCCTGGTCCTGACACGAGAATAACTTGAACTAACTTGCGCACCCGGCCTTGAGTGGGAACATGCCTTGCGATAAAACTCCTTTTTTAAAAAGTCCAACAAACGCATCTTGTAGGAGGACCGGCTCACTTGGGGAGCACTTCCCTGTCAGAACGGTTTTCTGCTTCATTTCGACAAAGAGTTTATCTCCTATGAGGCAGTGAATCTGTCAGCCCACATCCTGAGACTCAGAAATGTTATGATGGAACGGAGGTGGGACTCTGAAACTACCACATCCCCCCAAACTGCTGAAGCTCCCACCATACGCAGCAAAGAAGCAGGGGGAACTGGCGGAAGACACGTCTCTAAAATCAAAGCATATTGTCAGCTTTCACTGATGAGTTGCCTGTCTGGCTGAATTTGCTGAGATCTGAGTACACCACTCATCACTGCAGGAATTTGCAGGGAATGAGACCGCCAAAGTGCTGAGACTGTTCTTGGCCTATTCTCCCCGGTTTAAAGTTTGAAAATAAGCTCAGTTAGCAATTTACTGCTCAGTATTCTAGCTAGTTGGAACAGAGAAGGATCCATCTTTTCGCCTCGAAGTTTTGTTTTAATTTTCGGATCCATTCATTCCACAAGATCATAAAAAATCTTCCGTGACTTGAATCATTTTGATGGCAGGACTAAACTACCTTCTGCATTTTTCTCTTCTCATGAACCAAAAGATTTTCCTCCAGGCTTTCTGGAACTAAACCTAAGAAAGTGTTCATGTGACATGGGAAATGGTGCTATAGTAGGAAGCGAGGCTGAATGAGAACACTATGGTCATGTTCTTTGTGTTTCATGGAAATTTGGGGGTTTTACAATGTACAGTTAAAGCGTATGTTTAGTTTTTAGATTTGTCTCATATACTGTTACTGTGACTTCTAATAACAAGAAAAAGACACAAGCAAAGGATTCAGTATATTAAAAACCAGTTTTATTCTTGTTAACAGCATTATGATCCTCGTGCTGGGAAATATCAGTTAATAATTATTTCCATTACAGATTAGTTGGCTGATTATTTTCTAATTTAACCAATAAAGTAGTGAAAAATGCCTATTATACTTCCCCAGAGACCAAAGTGACTCACAAGCTCAACCATATTTAATTATATATCTAAACTGAGAAGAAGAAGCATATCCTTACGGAAAATGCAATTTGTGGACAATCAATCAACACATTGTTTCAGCTCTAAGTGCTTCATTTTACAGGTCTATAATCCCCACCCCCACCCCAAATTCTTGGAGGTTTCCTGGAATTAACTTTGTAATTATCTGGAAATTAGAGCTACATTTCTAAAACTTTTATTTTAGTCTGAGTTTAAAAGCAGTTATTGATTTCCAGTGAAATTACCTTGAAAGAACGGCTCCATTTTAAATAAAACTAGCAGTCGAACTGAATAACTCAGATAAGATGATAAAATGAAGCGTCGGATATGACATGGCTTGTCTAGGTATGTTTTAGTGATGCTACCTTGATGTAAAGCTGCACTGATTCAACATTCTCTGGTAGCTTTGCTGCTTTTCTTTGTCATGTGTGATTGCAAACTCAATATCTTTGGGTTTTGGACTGATAAAACAAGCTATTTGAACACATTTCACAGGGCTGTGGGCAGTTGTAAAGGGAATTTTTCACTACTTACTGACATTTTATCGACAAAACTATTAATCAAGAATATAATCATTAGTTGTAACCCTAATTAAAACATGAGGGGTCACTTATGTGTTTAGCACCAGCCTCTTCATTCACTAAAGCAAGACAGATCCGCAGCTTCATCTTCAAGCCAAATTGTTACCCTCATTGCCATCAACCTGTCACCACAGCAGCCAGGATTTGTAAGTCCAGGTGGCATTTTCCTGTTTTGAATTTAATTAGCTTTATGTTCTGGTGAGATGACACTAGAGACTGTCATCTGCTTCTATAGCCCATCTGTTTCAATCCTCTGCCTCTTCTCTGCTCAGAGATGTCGACATGCATTTGGCTGTTGCACAAAGCTCCTGTTGGTTCTCGCTGGCCCGCAGCTTCAATGAGTTTCCGTTGACTTCTGTAATCAACAAGTGTTATTGACCTCTGGACTACAGGAGGGAATTTCAGAATTTCTGAGCTGCTGGGTTAAGTGATCAGCAATCACATCGCATTCAGAAGTCACTTCAATTGCACATGACACAGATCGTGCCCTTTTCTAGATATGTGAGAACCTTTCAATCAGGAAGAGTGAGCTGTGCATAGACAATGAGGTGGAGGTGGACCCCTTCAGTGTGTCATCTCAGTGAAATTTCAGGGCTGCCACAGGGTTGAAATATTTGTGTGCTCTGTGTGCATATTTTGTCAGATTTTTGCATTTGTGGGAGCAGAGTCCCTTTAAGCTTAAGTGCGAATCCTGTGGGGAATGAGGGGCAGAGGTGCTTCGTTTTTCCAGCTGCGTGCACCGGTTGATGGATGAGTCTCTGTGCTTGGTCTACCTTGTGAAACCTCCCCAGTCGCAGCCCAGAATGCACTGGTCAGGAACGAGAGCTTCTCCATTCTATTCTGGGCATCTGTCAGCAGACAGACTCTCTCCGACATGTCCTTAAGTGTGTAGCGTACATTTGTCACACCGGTGCAGAGTGCTGACACTCCTGTATAAAACCTCAATCTGTTTTCTGGCTCTATTGAGAAGTGCCATTTTGGTATTTACCAATATTGCAGGTTTAAATAGACCGTTACATAGTTTAAAAATGTATTTATTTTAATCCTTACATTAGCTCTTATTTTATCTTCGGTTAAAGATCATTAAAGTCATTTTTTATGTCTGCATGAACACACTGCTTCACCAAATGTCAGAATAATTACCAAGTTCATTAGTGTTCAAGACAGACCATCGCTTACAGAGTATAGCATCATCGCATATGAAGTATATACAAGGACAACGGACATTAGCAAAGCCAAGTCATGGAAAACTTCACACAGATTTTGTTGTGTCCTAGAGACAATCCATGTCTGTCTGAGCTGTCTGCTGTGTTCCAGTGGGAGACATTGTTGTTTTGTTTTTCCCAACCTTTAAGGAGCTGACACCAGTGTTTATGAAGTCTGATATTGGAACAGGCTACACACATTAAGCTCAGGAGGCACTGAAGCAGTGTGTGTGACTGGAACAATTACTGCTGCTGCTGCCAGATGGAAAACACGATGTTCAGGCACAAAGGTTAATGGCTCCATCTGTTGGAGAATGGCAGAAGTGCTGCTCCCAAGTGTGTGTGTGTGGTTGTGCATTTCCGTACATGCATTTAAGGCATATGCTTTGGTGCCACAGCAAGTGAAATTGTGTAGGATGGCACATTTGGATCTGAAGGATCTGAGCATGAATAATTTGATACAAATGTTATCTACATTCATTTGAACTTGATAAATACCAGATGATATTGACTCAAATGTCATCTGTGATTGGTATGCTAATGTAATGAGTTCATTCTTTATGCAGATAAAAATCTTCCCTGCTTTAATTTATGATCAAAGGATTAGTCCACAGTTTAATCTTACCAAATTATGAAAGAAATGTTTGTCACATCCACTGGAAGTAAGTAAGTAAGTAAAGCTTTAATTATATCGAACTTTTTAATACACACACAGGTACAAAGTGCTTCATAAACAAACAAATAAAACACACACATACATACACACGTATATGTATATATATATATATATATATATATATGCATATTTACACATAGATGTGTACATACAAACATATAAAATCATATCATGCATTTGGAACATGTAAATACTAACATATGGAAGAATAAAACAAAAGAAAAAAAATGAACTTAAAAAGAGAGACAACAAAGAAAACTAAACGAAACAAAAGAAGGTGATCTGGAAAAAGCCTTGCCTGTAGAGGTAGGGTTTGAGGATCTGCTTAAAACAGTTCAGTTCATTCAGCAAATCAGAGTGATTGGGGAAGATGAATAACAGAATAACACTTCTATCTTGTCTTTGTTACCTCCATGTGAAGTTTAATGCACCAAACATACACATGTCTATAGTCTTTGTTGTGTTACTGTCAAATCATAGTTGTATGCCTTTTTTTGTTCTCTTTCCAGTTCCTTGGAAACACAGAGGTTGAAGCCCCAAAAGGCACAGAAGTTGTAAAGGATGCAGTCAGAAAGCTAAAGGTAAATCCAGTCCTCAGGGTAAGCTGTAGCCTAACGGATAGAAGAGTGTTCTTGAGTGACCGGATTGGATTGGAGACTTAGAGCAGGGGAGGTGGGAGTGAGTGACAAATGCTCCCCTCCCTCATCAGTTACCAGCAAGGTGCCCTTGGAGTTTTTCTGCTCCCGAGTGTGGATGCCTATAACTGCTGGATAAGCACAGCAGTTTGCTCAGTCAACCTTCCCCGAGTAGATGTAGAATTCAATAAAACGGATATTTATCTGCCATGAAACCTGTTGTTTTCCTACCCCAACCACACCAACATCCCATTTTTACTTAATAAGTCACTTTATTAAAGCACAGGTGCATTTATATACCCTGGCAGAACTCAGTGACACATCGTAAAACCTCTTGACACTTAATATTCTCCACTACTGGTTCCTCGCATGAAGTACATGATGTAATTAGATGCTGCAGCCCACATTTGCATATTAATAGGGGGAAAATATTTCCTGAAACAGTATACTTTAATCCCCTGATAAGGTACGCTGTTGGTGTTAATGTGACTCATGTAAACACAAATGTGCTATAATATAATTTGTTAATTAATGTGTTGATTAAAGCTCCTATATGTAATGTGAAAGGTGGCACTTGTAACTAACCCACAGGGAATTCTCACCAACTCTGCAGTTCTTCTCTGCTCATTTAATTCTCCTTTAGCTCACTGTTTTTTGGCCAACATATTCCTCTCTCGTACACATTGTTTCCTGTTCTGAATCCCTGATAACGGCAGTGTATGCTACAGAGCTAAAAGGAGAGTGAATATTGGACTTAAATAGATCAAATCAACTTAAGATCAATGCTGATATTGCTCTGTGCGACTCTGTGTGTATGTAGGAGGCGGTGTAAGAAGCTGTAAAGCCAACATTGACATGTTATTATAGATATGGCAAACGTGTTAGCCAACTCGGCTTTTATCTCTTTTGTGTCCACCGGCTACTGAGGGAAATATATGCTCTATTAGAGGTAAATGTTCACCAGCTTGTCACTGGCTGCCATTTAGTGGTGCCTGCTGTGTCTGGGAAACAGTGAGGATGAAACAAATGAGGGTGGTGCATTCAGGCAGTCAAACCAAAACTTTTATCTGAAATACACTACAAGGGTATATAGATTACACATAGTCATTGCCTTTAGTGTTGATATAAAAATATTGACTAGAGCAGCTTTAATATTTAACTCTTGAGGTTCTTACACCCTTATATAATGCTGATTGAGCCATGATCATATTTCTTGCAAACTGCTTTTAAACCTATTACTGACAACTGCAAAATATTTGTTTATATATTTATATATATATATATATATATATATATATATATATGCACAACCTTTTATGTTTATACCTTACTTTCTGACACATAGGCTACTGTAACTTCTTCTCATGCTGTTGTGTGGCACCTATCAAAGCCAAAATAGTCAGCACAGTAATCACAATTCACAGTCTCTTGCTTGTGGTTATTGCCGCATGGTTGTGAGCACAGACACACACACACACTGCGCGCACTGCTCCACTGTTTGCCAAGGCTTTCCAGGACAGTGCGACACATGAGCTTCTGGCTTTCTCAATCATTGTCCCATTGAAAGCTAATGTAGTCCGACCTTTGTCATTCTCATGCTCTTGTTCTGCTTTTAAATTATCTGATACATAAAAACAGATTCCTCATCATTGGTAGCCTCAGGTAAATCTTTAGTTCCAGAGCTACTTACCCTCCAATATCAGAATAACCGTTGCTCTGCACTAAACCTGACACCCATGTGCTGCACCCTCATGTTACTGTGACAGTGAGCTAATATAAACTTCTTCTGCGTATTGTGTCTATATTTATTCATAGTAACAGTGAGGCAACAGTGCTGCCATGAGGCCAAACAGGAAAAAACAATCACTCACTATCACTTGCATCAAGAATGCCGTGTATACACACATGGAACTCTTGCATACCCTTGAAACTTTTTAGAGAATAACCTTAGAAAAAAGGATCTGGGTTTGACACCGGAGACCAGCGTTTAGCAATCAGTCCTGGTTTTCTGTAGCCAGGACAAAGATCTTTCCTTCAGCAAATCTTAGTCACCAGAACATGCTTAATGTGTCACTTTGGAAAGCACTGACAAACAGCTTTATTTGTTATTTAGGCTTTAGATTTTCTGTGTAATCAGGCACAGTTTCAGTGACTGTCCTCTGTTAATGACCCTTAACCTGAGTTGTTTTCAGACACATACTCCTCAACATTAATCTAGTTCAACTAAACTAGCAGTGCTAGCCTTTATGCATGGGCACACAACCAGAGAACCCTTACTTTCTCACAGATTCTCGGTAATGTGGCTGTGCTCACTGCCCGTTGGCCTCCCCTCTGTCTTCTCCTGCCAAGAGTTGAATCGGTGAGGCCACTTGTAGGGGAGGACTGTTTTCCCAAACCCATACCTCTATTGTTACATTACATTTGATCTCAAAAGCCTGTTTGGAGACCAAGGCTCCATGGTTACTCTCCCAGATACACTGGCAATTAGGACAGGCTTTCCATAGATCACGTGAGGGAAAGAAATTGTTGATTGTGGAAAAAATTAGAATTGAGAGAAAGCCCTGGAGGGCATGTGCCCATGGTTTAGATCATATCAGTTTAGTCCAATACTAGAATATAAATCCATGTGGGTTTTTGCTTGAGCAAGAAGAATCTCCCTGTAACACACTTACTTTTGTCTCTCCCACTCTGTTCATGTTCATGTCTCCAAGCTCCTGAAAATTGAAGTCCTTAAATTATAGAAGCTTTTACTCAAGGCCTTACAAGGGCTTGGTCACAGCTGAATTTATAATTTTACTGTTAGCGCCGTAATGTTAGAGGTGGTATAAAATACTGCAGTATCTTGTTGGCACACTCATACACACATTTTACAAGGTTTCACATTGAAAAGTGAAGTCATGCAAATATTAGAGCTGCAGATTCAATCTTCTCTCATTCGTACGACTAAAGTGGATACTTACTAAACATTTATCTCCATGTATATTAACATTGGAAATAACTGTGAGTTTCCTTAAATGTAGTGATGCAGTGTCTTCTTAAGCGACAGCATTTACTCCCCTTTTAACAGACATTTTCATGGTTATTGACCTAAACTCACTGCCAAGTCCCATTAGTATTTATGTCAGTTGGCAAAATAACTGTGAAAGCTTTTGGCAGCACTTGAAAGAATGACACATTGGATGAATCGCAGATTTGTTTTCCATGTTAATCTATTATAAGACACTTTAATGATAAGATTTTCTTGAACAAATTCTCATTGCACTTTAAAGATAACATGCTGCTGTTTTATACCCAAGCATGTCTGTGTTATTGGGTTTTTTAAAATGTATTTTATTGTTGTAAATCTACCTTCAAGGTGTGCAAAATGTAATTAATATTTTGAAGCTATATCAATCAATTTATTATTTTTAATTTGAAAGTGTGAGCTCATAGTAACCAATCCACCTGACTCCTTTTTAGCCTCTTTCAGCTCATTGTTTTGGTTTTACGGCCAGCAACTTTACTGTTTTGGCACCACTTTCCTTTCCATGAAAAAAGCTCTGATAAACTGTAAACTACCTGCTGAGCCCCAAACAGTAGACGGACAAAGTTAGCAACTAGCCGGTGAACATAGTGCAACATTTAGCAGGGCCCTTTTTTTTTTTCACGGGAGCTAAATGGAGAATAAATACTGGACTTGCATGTCAGATGGCCAAACTTCAAATTAATGCTGGTGGATGTTCTATATGAGCTAAATATGTAAATAGGCAATTGTTTGCTAGCGTGTGCAACTTTTGTGCAACAGTGTTGCCCCTAGTGGCCAAAGAAATTAGCAGCTTTAAAGTTGTGTACAGCTTTACTTCTCTTCTAGTTGTTCTGTTGTAAGATAATCATTTTGTTTTCCTGTTTGTGATTTCCCTCACTGGCAGTTTCAGAGACATATCAAGAAATCAGAGGGACAGAAGACCCCCAAAGTGGAACTGCAGATTTCCATTTATGGCGTGAAGATACTAGACCCCAAGACAAAAGTGAGCACAAAGTTGAAATTGATTGTTCGGCAGGTGCATTGATTCTGTACAGGACACCTGATGTTACACTGACAGCAAACACCATGTAGACGAAGAATTGATTTGTTGTCAACATTCGTGAATTAAATAATGAATGTATTTTTTTGGTTTTCCAGGATGTGCAGCATAACTGTCAGTTACACAGGATATCCTTCTGTGCAGATGACAAAACAGATAAAAGGATATTCACTTTTATCTGCAAAGACTCGGAATCTAACAAACACCTCTGCTATGTGTTTGACAGTGAAAAGTGTGTAAGTGTCTTCCGCTGCCTTGTCTTTTTATTGAAACAAATATATAACATATGTCACAGAATGTATTATAGACCTGTGTTTTATACTCCCATACTGTGTTTTGATTGCTATTTTTACATCCTGTAGTTAACCATGAATAATCATTTCAACTACGAATAAGCTGCAGTGACATTTAGTTAAATATCACAATCACACAATCAAGTCTTTGCTCCCCTCTGTGCAGGCAGAGGAGATAACTCTAACTATCGGTCAGGCCTTTGACTTGGCCTACAAGAAGTTCTTGGAGTCTGGGGGCAAAGACGTGGAAACCAGGAAACAGATTGGAACCCTACAGAAAAGAGTACGCCTCCCATCCAGTCGATTCAGCTTGCTTGCCTTCACATTGACTTTAATTTACTTTGAAACCTTGTACCACCGTGCTGAGACATTGATATTGTTATAAATTAATGCAGAGCTTGTTTCTATTGATTGTTTCAAATGATCCAGTGTCGACAATTAGGGGGTGTTGATGAAAAATATCATTAATGAATATAAATGATCGTAAGCCCTGTTGTTACAAATCCAATCTGAAATTGAATTACTGTGCACCCTGCTGAAACTGAAGAGCTTTTCCAGTGGTTTGGTTTAAATGGTGATTTATTAAAACATTAGAGTGAACTTAATTAAGTGACTGACAGAATGTCTTAGTTAAACAGTGTGACATCTATTTTTTTAATAGTAGTTAAAAAGAATTCTATATGGGGTTTAAGCTACTTGGAAAAAGCTTTACACAATCAAGGGAGAAATTAGTATTTTAAACATGAATGTTAATTGTTGACCTTAAACTCCAGATATGCGTATTTGGGATTTTCAGAAATAAATATAGAAAGTGTTCCTTAATTGGTTAAAATTCTCCTGTTTTCAAGCTTAACAAACAATTTAAACATTAAATTATCAAAAAATGAATTATCACAAAGCTGAAAACAGCCTTTTATTAGACATTTTTTTCAACCTAATTCATAAGTGTGTAAGAGAGTTTCTGTAAAACTGCAGTGAAATTGGGTTTCCACACTTCACGTTTCAATATCAGACGCCACACTGCAGTTCATTTAGGCTTAAGGCGTTTTCAAAATGATCTGAAATGCTCTTGTCTTTGTGCAGATTCAAGAACTGGAAACAGAAAACTCTGAACTGAAGCAACAGCTTCAAGACCTTGAAGAACAGCTGATGATAGCTCATGTGCCACCAGTAAGGACCAACTGCACAATCACACACCTCCCCAGTTTACAGACCGGAAATCTAGATTGTGCATTTTAATGTCGATGTCTGTTTCTGAACAGCAGACACTGTGGTCGCAATTTAGGGAAAGTGTTCTATGTTATATGTTCCAATGTTTAAATGTAAGATAACAGCTAATCTGCTACATAGCAATATTTACACAAACATTAGCTAGCATTAGCCACCATAAGCTAATGGTCATACCATTCTAAGTGAGGCTGTGGCAAGAATAAAACAAGGGTGTTTAATTGCTTATTAATATAACTTTTTTTCCTAAGACTAAAATTGGGTTTCAAAAGTTACAACGTCTCACTTTAACTGCAACTTCTGCAAACAAAAGCAGCTTAGCGATGCAATGTGACTCTCAAATCATTTCGGATTCAAATATTCCACATCAGCCAAAAGTGCAACAACCACGACCATCTTTTAATTATGAAAGTTAAGTATAAAAGTAAATTTGCCATTTTTTTAAGTATTTTTCAAGGACAGCTGATTTTGCTGATATTGCTTCAGTGATTAAATGCACGACCTCAAACTCCAGCTTGGAATGACCAAACCTATCTGGAGGAAGTCGTGGGGGTCGAAGCTGTGTCTGAAGCAAAGCAATTACACACCTGATTGGTCTGATGAGGAATGTGATACATTCGCCATCTAATTGGGCCAAATGCCAGTACTTGTGACAGCCTCTTGCGAATGCAATTACCCACACCTCCCCTACTCCTTCTGAATAATATTGTCCCTCTGTGGTCGTTTTCTGTCTGCGATCTTTTCCCAGCCGCTGCACATAAACGCAGCTAATGAAGCGTACATGCTGCAGAGGCCCTCCTCTCTCTTCTGGTGTCACAGCATCAAGTCGCTCTCCTGTCTGGAAATCTCCTCTATCACGCTCACTCCTATGAGCTCGCCGGAGTCCAACTTGTCTGCTGGGCTACTAACTCCTCCGCCTGCCAAACCTGCTCTCCTTCCTCCTAAGCCTACCGAGGGATGCAGCATCCCGCGGCCTCGCGTAAACACCCTATGCTTTTTCTTTCTTTTCGCTGTGTGCTTTGTCGCTGCCACTGAGACCTTATTATCTCCTGCTCTTGTCAGTCTTTTGCTGTTTCTTCTTCTTCTCTTACCTTTGTATAAAAATAGCTGTGTAGTTTTTGTCTACGTGCAAGGCTTACACAAGCCTGACCTTGGCGTAATCATTTCCATGCCTTTATTTACAGGCAGGGAGCATCTCGATGAAACCACAGTCTACGGACGTTTTCGACATGGTTCCCTTCTCACCTGTGACGCCGCTGGTGCCCACTCTGGCCAGCAACGGCTGCCCACCACCACCACCGACCACATTACCACCAGATATAAGTGAGTAGTTTAGATGTAAAGGTTTGAATTAGTTCCCCAGCTCCTGATAGATTTATTCTGCAGTAATTGAAGGATTTTGGCTGTTAAAAATACTCCTTGTTTAAATATTTACTGCATAGTAACAGGAGACTGCCAATTGAAGCTATTTTTCCTTTTCACTCAGCGTGATGTTTATCTGCTGTCTGTGTTTGAAGGAAAAGACCTGTTTGGTGCTGAGCCCTTCGATCCATTCACCTGCGGAGCAGCTGACTTCCCTCCAGATATCCAGTCAAAGCTGGATGAGATGCAGGTGAGCGCCTGTCTGTGTCTGATTCTTCCACTTTGTGTTTTAAAGAACTGCAGGGAGTCTGGTTAAACTGTGAACCCCAGCGCTTCTATCTGTCTTATTATCAGTCTCAGCACTTTGAAGATCTAGATTTTCTCTTGTGTATACGAACAAAAGGCTTTGTGCATCATGGGCGATGCCTCAGTGGTGGGCACCACTGCTGAGTTCTTTCTGGACAGTTTGGTCCTAATTTGCCTGAGCTCCAGTACCCAGTTTATTTAAATAAGTAACTCTGAAATAGATCAAGTTTGTCATGCTGCAGTAAAACAAACAGATGTGAGGGATTGCCTAATTCTATCTTCCTGTTTATGTTCTTTGTGGAAAAAGCTGAGCACAATAGGATTTTAATGAAATCCTCAGCTGACTCAGTGGTGAATGACTCACTTCTTTTATTTAGATTTATCAGGGACATGAAACCAGTTTCATTTAGAAATGCATTAATAAAAAGAATAAGTGTATCACATAGTTATGTTTTAATGTCCCTTTATGCATTCCAATGAAGTGAAAACAAATGAAAATGGTCTCAGTATTCAGCAAAAATGTCACAGTGGAACCTTTTTACTACTGTATTTGTGGTCTGGTGGATAAATGAGCAATTTAACATGTATTCGCTATAAAGAAATAACAAAGAAAATTGATGATTGTGGCTTTTCAGAAATATAATACAATTATCCTCTGCTGTCTGGAAGTATGAATAAAAAGTAAATCAGAATTATTTCACTTGGGGCTTATCCATGTTGCATTGCTTTCTTTAGAGGCATCGTATCACCAAGGCTATCAAGATTTATGTTCTTATTTATTTGGACACAAAACGACGTGTACAAGGTGGTCCGATTTTCTTGTGATGCTCATCAATCAAATACGTTATTGAAAGTTGAAGTCAATAAAGTATGACAAATGCTCCCATCTTGCTCTCAGGTTCAGAGTACAGCGTGTAAGATTTCTGTCTTTTGGCAGCTTGGACTTAGTTTGCTCAACTGAAACTCATAGTGAGGTGAATAGAATAGACAGTTCATATTCTTGGTAACATTATTTCACTTAAATTACTTTCAGCTGGACTAGCTTTGTCATGCTGTGAAACATTTTAAACAGTGTTAAACTTGACCTTTTATAACGTAAAACCAACTGTAACTGCACATGTATTGAGTTTCCATTGTTAAGGAGGATCTATTGGCAGAAATGAATTATATTCTTCATATGTATGTTTTCATTAGTGTATAATCACCTTAATATAGGAAAAAGGTGTTTTCATGACCTTTTAGAATGAGCTCTTTATACCTACAGTATATGGAGTCTGCCATGTTGAACCGCCATGTTTCTACAGTAGCCCAGAAAGGACAAAACAAACATTGGCTTTAGATATGAGATTTCACGTTTTTTGGTAGTAATGCAGCCACCGTAGTTTCTACTACACACCTCACAGCCCTCAGTGCCAGATCGTCAAATACAGACACAAGTGGTGTTCAGTTAGTTGCAATCTGCAACTTCACCACTAGATGACACTATATTCTACTACTACTACTGGTCTTAATTTAATGAGTGAAATGAATCCATCCTTTAAAGTAACAAGACTTTTTTAAATAGTCTGTAACTGAAAAATATTACAAAACTTAATTATAAAAAATCAGTTGATTCCAAAAAATTCCTTTTATGAGGTTTTACAGTGTATTGATTTTCAAATATAGTGAATGGTTGAGAACAATTAGGTTGGTTTTAGGTGGTATGAGAGAATATGGCTTTTTATTTCTGCTTCCAAAAGGGACTGTGAGAAAAAGTTTGAGAATCACTGCCGTAGCTGAAGTTGGCATACAATTAGACAAATCATTACAAACACAATCCCCACAAACAGTCATTCTCTGTGGGTCTGTGTCCTGAATGATTAGAACATAATGACATCTGGAACTAAAAATCTGCTGCAACTTGTGTGTTTCTGTCTGCAAAACAGCTGCTGAGTTTTAGCAGGGATCAGCCAGTAGGAGGCGATGTTGCACTGACTCGCTTGAACTTAGTGCACTTTTTCAACTTTTCCTTCAACTTCTTCCTCTTCTTAATGATTAACAACTGAATTCACCTTTTGTCCTTTCCTCTTGTAGCGTCAGAGATGGTTTGTACTCTTTGCTCTGTGCTAGCTTCCCTGTCTGTGCTGTGACTGTAGGCGTGTCTTTGTCTTGCATGTGTGGAGGATGTTGCATGTTCTTACAAATCCAGTGTGATGTAAATCCTCTTCTTCCATCTTCTCTTAAACGCTCTCAGTAAAGATACAGTGTATTGGGCTCCAGCCAGTGTCTTTAAATAGCAGTTATTAGCACTTCTAGATGATGAGCTGCTCTTGTCGCAGACAGAGGCTTATTAATTAATGTGATCAAACAATTTTTATACTCTAAGATGTTGGTTTTCCAGCAATAATTACTTAGAAGGATGCGATTTTAGGAACCAATGTCACATTTAATATATAAGTGTGCATCTATATAAAAAAAGCATTTTAAAAGCACAATATGGCTATGGCTTTTTTACCAGATATTTGCAGTTTCCAAAATAAAATAACTTTCTTTTTCATTTAACCAGCGCTTCTCATTAGGTGCATGCATTGTTTCTGCTTGAGTTTATGATTTTACCCATAATGCATGACCAAGCATGACAGAACAACAGTGCTGTAATCTCTGTTTTGTTTAGCATTTCATTCTCTTTTACCCTCAGAGGTTTACAGACTTTTCCCCATTGGCTCTAATCTAAATATTACTCAGATGTCCTGTTTATTAACAACATTTGGACATGTAATCTCTCAGAGACCATGTCAGTGTGCGTGGTCGCTGAACGTCACTGCTGTTCTCTGGCTTGTCTTCCAGGAGGGGTTCAAAATGGGACTAACCTTAGAGGGCACTGTCTTCTCTCTGGACCCGCTAGACAGTCGCTGCTGATGCCAAGAAGATGCTCTTTGTCACGTACTTTTAACTCGTTTGTATGAAGAAGTGCCAAAATCCACTCCACGGTTGAGTCAAGATGTCACAGTTTTCATCTTGAGGTTTATATGCATTTGCATTTAGATTGGTTTTTCGATATTTCATGGTAAACTCAGATCCATTATAGAAAAGAACTATTTTTGTAAAAGAAAACAACTTATGGAAGGAGTAGTTTTGAGTACCTTTGCTTGAACAGGCAATGAGAGATGTAAATAGTCGAATATGTCCAATGGTACACAGAATTTTCATATGACAGTTTGTGTGTATGCACCATTTGAATTCTGTATTGTTAACACATTCCTGTTTGTATGCCAAACACAAGCTGGCGAAGAAAATAAATGGAATCTGTATCATTAACACAGCTTGCCCATAACGTCATATAGCTTCTTTTTTTACACATGAATTAATCCAGTTGCTTACTGACCTTTCCACTGTTTGTTTTTGATGTTGAGTTGTTTGTTTATTTTATTTTAGTTTTTTTTTTTGCATTTCACATGAGTTGCCATTTCAGTATTTACGTATCATATTTTTACTTTGTCATAATTTTAGTCTGCTTTTCTTGCACCAGAGGGCACTTTTTTGGACAGCCTCTGTCCATATACAGTACAGTACTATTCCCATTATTTTACTTTTGGTTGCATTGACTTTGCTGTTACACCTATTAAAGAAAATCTTACTGCAAAAAACAATGCTACTGATTCTATCATTTAATATTATTTGCGTGACTTTATTAAGCTGTTTTTGTGTTTGAGATGTTTTCTCTTTAATTCAGATATTTTATTATTAGCCGTGCTGCTAGCTCTATGGATGGCAGTGTTGGTCGATCAGTCCGCCAGCTTGGTCCGAACTCAAAATGTCTCAATTTTGTACATTTTGATTCCCAGATGAGACTGAATTTGTGATCCTTGTACTTTTCCTCCAGCGCATCCATAAAGGTTGACACATTTGGTTCTGTTTGAAATGTCTTCACAGCTACTGGATGCATTACTATGGAATTTGGTAAATATGCGTATGATCCCACATGATGAATTGTAATAATGTTGGTGATTCCTTGACTTTTCATCTAGCGCCATCATCAGGTCAAAATTTAAATTGGTCCAATACATGAAAACAAATTACATTCCCACTAGCTTTGCTGTAGACTCAGTCTTGCTGTAGCTACATACTTGTGTGATGTGTAATGTGGATGCAGTTTCAGGAGCAGTTCACTCTGCCGTTGACCTACTTTTTCAGTTCTATCTATATTAAATATGTGGTGTCACTTTTTTTTTGTATCATCATCTCTAATTTTATGTGATTTTTTGCCTCAGAGATTCACACCCTCTTGAGGCTGAAATTATTCTACCATGCTACAAAGTTTTTAAAGGACCAAATGAACTCTTCTGAAACAAGAACAGGCAGAGAGAAGTATTTTCAATATTTATTTTCAAAGGATGAAACGCATCTGCTTCCAGTGTGGAAAGCCCCTTCCTCCTCCTCCTCCTCCTTCTCCTCCTCCTCCCTCGCTCCTCCTCTCTGCCTCTGGGGTGTTAGCAGGCAGTCAAGCCTTGCAGAAGTTACAGATTTATAATAAATATACTCAAATATGAGCCAAATGGTCACAATAGAATTACTTGTAGGTACATTCATGAAAATGTTACGAAAAAACAGCTTACATTTGACACAACTGTGAATGTTAAATACATTTTTTAAACTACAAAATATGTCTAAAAATGAGTTTGTGTGAAAAAGGACAAGCATAAAGGACCTAACTATACCTGAATTAATATGACAAGAACTTGGGGGGATTAACAAGCATTTTGTTTAATTTGTTGCATAGCAAGAAATACAAAGCAAACAGGCACTCACAGCCACCTTATTCTATAAAACTGATTATAAAAAGGATTTCAAGAGCATATAGGTCCAGGATACTGAGAAGGGGGAACTGACATGCATAAAAATAGAATATTCTGTGTTACCTTATCGAAGGAAAAAAGCTTTTTTACAAATCACCACACACCACTCACATGACACCTCATTCATCTCTCCATCGTTGATAGAAAGATCTTTATTGGTATCCCCAAACCCTGCCCTACCGCGCAGCCGGGAGAAGTGCACAAGGATCACACTACTTACAAAACAGCACCTGTGAAAAAAGATTTACATGTAGTGTCATCGTTTCTCAGTTTCGGTGACGAGGTAGCTAACACTGAGGAATCGACAGTCTTAATGTCTTTAATGTTGTACGTGGTCGGTACAGAGTTTAAGATAACTGGATACAGACATTGGTTCATCAAAACTGTCTCAAGAAAATACCTGCGCTGGTGAACGCATCATCGGCTGTATTTGTTTCCTCAATAGCACCACAATGTTGTTTTATATTCAAACATTTAAAACAAAAAAATGAATAGACAAATCTGTAAAAAATAGTGGAAGGACAACATTTGATGTAGCTTTAGTGGGATGTTTCTAAGCCTATAAACAGCAGTTATAGTTACCATTTTAAAGCTTTCATATCCATAAATCTTTGGCAATATTTTGTGAAATAAAATTAAAGAGTAAGATCTTTGGACCAAACTACACCATAGTGATCCTCGAAATGCATCAAGCTTTAAGTCGAACATAAACAAGACAGAGGAATGATTCTGATTTTTACCAAATTTTTATGTAAATTGCGAACATTCATTCTAACTTACAAATCTCCGATGTCTTGAACTGGGTTGAAAGGCACAATAAATATCTTGCCACAGGGCCAGAATAGTCCTCAGTACTCGTATGTACAACGTGGCTGATCGTGTCAGCTGTCAGTTCAATAGTCTCAGGATTCACCTCGACGCATCCCTGCTGACGATTTTACAAGAAGCACACAGGCCCGATATCGATGCCGAACTCTTGATCTTGGCCACCAATGTCCACAGGGGCAATATCCACAATAGGAAGTCTTGCTGTTTTCTGTGTCCTGTACTCAAGCACTGTCTTGCCCCACTTGCCATTTGCTTGCTGCAATAAAAGACAGACAATAGAAGTTCAGTGAATAACGTAATGGTTCTCTTTAATGAAGAGTAATTCATCTTAACTGAAATGATAAACAGTATTTTAATATCTTTGTTCTGTGATGTATTAATCTTATCTGGGTGTTGACTTTGGTAATGAGTTTTCTTTGCTTAGAAACTTCAGGCACTCATTTATTTTATATTTTTCTTATAGTCAACAAATCCCATGAAAAGACCAAAACCAACAATGAATTGATCCTACTTATTTTCTGTGTATCCTGATGTATCTTAATCCTCTGTGCCGTATAGCTCCAACTATTAAAAAACCTTGAGTCCTGCTGGCAAAAATGCTCATTAGTGTACCAAATGTGCATTATTCCACAGCCCTATTTAATTATCACCTTATGAAGTTGTGAAGCAGACCCAGAGCAACTTAAGAATTCACTGCATTCAAACCCAATTTGTGTTTGTGTTAAATGTAATTACAATGCTCGCTCTCCTTTTAGCTCTGCTTTTGGTTTCCACTAACTCCTGAGAGAAATATCTGGCTCTGCTGCTAAATGCTTCACTATGTTCACCAGCTAACTTTGTCTGCTGTTTTGCATTGGGCAGGTAGTGTACAGTTCAGTTCAGTCGATTTTTCTTTGCTAAAAACAGCTGCTTGCTGTGGCTGGAAACGATGCGAATGACAGCAGTGACAGTGGACCAAAAAAGTTCAAGGCTGCAGGCCATAAAATCAAAAAACAAGTTGAAAGATTGATGTGAAATATTGATTGGAGCAGATTTGTTGGCATAAAACTATAGTATAGCTATTTTAGGAAATACCAGCCTTAAAAAAAATGAAACTATATATTTATGAATATATTTATGATATTTATAGATATATATTTTTTTTTAGGCTATGTTTCGGTAGGTATTGAGGGACAGACTAACTCATTGTTTGTCATTTCATGGGATTTGATGAGAGTTGCAGTATCTTTTAATACAGTTAAATAATACATGAGTAATGTGGGAACTTACTGAGCAGGAGTCCTCCACCATTGTGTATCTGAACCGGTTGTTTCCCTCCGCTTTGAGTTCCAGTTCGTTGGAGCCCTTGAGGATTAAAGCTTTCTTCAGGTTGCCATTCTTCTCGTCCCTATAGCCCACAGAGTTCTTGCAGTGGTAGGTGATGGTCTGGGATGCCTCTTTGGAGAGCAGGCGGATGAAAGTCATCTGAACTGTGATGGAGTTTGCCGCTTGCTCTTTGTTGCCATAAGCGAACTAGAGAAATAAACAAAACAATCAATAATTAAATTAATGTTTTTTTTCTCAACATTTAGTTTTTGCACACCTTTTGAACACACCTTCCTCCCTCATTGTGAAGTCGTCTTAATGTTTCAATCACAGTAACACATTTTTTACAAGATACTTTCCCTATACAGTCTTCACAACTTCACTGTGCTTGCTTCCCTCTCTCCCATCATTAAAAAAATAAAATGTAACTGCTCACATGTGTTCCTCTGTTGATGTCAGCTCCGAACCACACAGGTTTGTTCCTGGAAGAGCTCCACCACACTTTACGAGGTATGCTGGATGGGTTGGCAGAGATGCAGGTCTCTCCGGTGTCCATGTTGCAGTGCACTTTGATGGCATCCTCCACACTGCCCTGGTTTGGATCGACCCAGTACTCCCCTACACAACAAAATGATCAGGACGTGATTGATTTATTCTACAGCTGCTATGGCTGCGATGGTAAAAGTCAGTTATATTGCATGCAATTAACAGCTTAGATAATATGCTAGAGGACAAAGACAGAGCAGAAGAGTGCGATTAAAATTCGTACTCCTTATGTGTGTATTTTAGTTCATGGTAAGTGTAGAATATAGATTTATTGTTAAAAAAATATATAAGTATTTTCCCAACACACATTTTCTGCCCCTTGAAATCCTCCCAAACACTCCTCCCACTCAGAGATTTCTACAGACACTCACCACTCTTCTTCAAGGGGTAGCATCTCTTGAGGTCGTCGCAGGTCCTGGCAGGATGTTTCCTGCTGCCGTCAGGGCTCTTCATGCTGTCGATCTGGCTGCTGAGGGCCTTCAGGGTGGCCTGAACGCCGGGGTCCACGGGCACTATGGTGGAGGAGTTGCTGTTAGGCAGGGCCTCGTCCTCACTGAACTCAGGAGGAGGAGGAGGGCCGGAGTCGTAATCGTGAGTGCCGTCAAAGAAGTCATCCATAACAGACATGGGTGGTCCTGGGGGACCAGGGGGCCTGAGGGTCCAGGCTCTCCTGGAGGGCCCTGTGGATTTAGGAATAGTGGGTATTTTACTTTTATTTTTATGTACAGTTTTATGTATAGTGTTGCTTACTAGTCAAAATTGTGCACAGACAATAATAAAACACAGTCCCTTGCTTCCTATAACGAACATCTGTCAGAAAGATGTTTGACAATGTAATGACTTTTTTAACAGCTGGCTGCACTACTGGCTGTTTTCTACAATCTTTTTTATTAGTTCAACTCGTACACAGTAAAAAGTTCTTCTCTGTATAATGAGACAATACCTCTGGTCCAGCTTCTCCACCGATTCCACGAGTTCCAGGGGGTCCCATCGGTCCTGGCTGCCCAATGTATCCTTCCTTTCCAGAAGGCCCAATAGGTCCAGGAGGCCCCTAAATGACATTCCAGTAAAGAAAGTAAGCCATTAGCCTTAAAATTAAGACTTTTATTCTAAAT